CTGATGTGCTTTCTGACTACATTCTTGACGTCTTCCAGAGCTTGAGGAGCTAAGGGAGTGTTGAAACAGATCCTCTAGAAAAAAGACACAAAGTTTAAAAATAAACCAACATTCAAACTACAAAGTAATAACCTATAAGCATCATTAAATCAAACAAGTCACAACCAGAAGAAATAAATTCTAATTTTAGATAGCCTCCACTTATATTATTAAAGTAAAAATTTAATTGCTTACAAGAAATTTCCCAACTCTCCTTATCCTATTTGTAAAACATAAGGCTGTTTGTGTGGCTATGTTATACAAAACCAAGAAAGCAAAATGACTCAGAGTTCAGACTTCAATTCATCCTTAATATACCCACCGCATACTCTGAAATGAAACTACCAAAATCCCTTCAATTCAAAGGCATAAGAGTTTTTCAATACCCTAATTAACAGCTTGCTATGCAAAACACTTTTAAATGAAAGAAATAAACCTTAATCAATATGTTGTTTAAAATAAAAAATTTTTATAGCTTTTATTGGCAAAGAAAAACAAAGTGATACAAATCTCTGAAACTGATGACAGCTACCTGAAAGAAGTTGAGCTCGGCATCATTGAGTGTACCATCGTTATCTTGATCAGATATTTTAAATATACGAGTAAGGGCTTTTATACAGGCTGGCTTCATCTATAAATCATTGAGAAAACAAACAATTGCTTTAATTAAAGTAGCACTTTAAAATATGAGTTTCATTAGTAATACTGGGAATAATTCCAATTGTTTTCATATAGCATCTAACACAGCCAACATAAAAAATAAACTAAACTGAAGCCATTTACTGTTACACTAATTTTTTTTTAAGTGAATGACAATATTTACTTGAACTGACACTTGGAATGTTCAAACTCTCCCTTCAGGACCATGAATCCTGTGAGGTCGGCAAAAAACAGTTGATCATTTGGATCATCCGAAGAGATGCATTCTGCTACTCACGTTAAGAAGAAATACTCAATTTCCTTAAATTCCATGAGAATTTTTTTTCTGTATTTTAGGGAAGGGTCTACAGGGTGCTCAGGGTCTTGGACTTGTAGTGATTTTCCTGTTTATAGCCTCTCAAGTGCTGGGATTACAGGTGCATGCCACCACACCCAGTCTTCCATAAAGAATTTGAACTGATTTGTGTAATTATGAAAGGCTTTTCTTCCTCATACATTTCTGGTAAGAGAATGGAACTTGATGTTTGATCTGTTCCTTGTGTGCATTTGAGCTGGGAAATAAAATGTTATTATTTATAAGCAGGCAGCAGGGGCTGGAGAGATGGCTCAGTGGTCTAAAGCACCTACTTGAAACAAGCTTGACATAGCACAGGGACCGCGGTTCGATCCCCCAGCACCACATGCCAGCCAGCCCTGCCCCCTGGTGGGCTGAGCTGGCCACACACACAATAAATA